GCTCTGTGCTGACCGCTCAGAGCCTGGAGCCTGTTTCAGATTCTGTGTCTCCCTCTCTCTCTGACCCCACCCTCCCCGTTCATGCTTTCTCTCTCTCTGTCTCAAAAATAAACATTAAAAAAAATTTTTTTAAATAAATAAACGTTTAAAAATTAAAAAAAAAAGAGTTCCATGATCCACTGACTGAGCCAGCCAAGCGCCCCTAAATTTTGCTTTAAACAGTCATAATATTTAAAAGAATTAAGAGGAAAGACTTAAATAACAAAGTTCCATTATCTTCCCATCTTCTTTTTCTTTTTTTAATGAGAGGTCAACGGTATCCATAATATTGTCTGCTGTATATAATGTATATACATTTTTCTCTGGCTGTTCCCTTTATCTCCAGATTTCAGCTCTTTGTGATGTCTATGGGTATCATTTCCTTTTGGAAGAGTTTCTTTTTTTTCTTTTTTTTTTTAAAGAAATCTCCACCCCCAGTGTGGGGCTTGAACTCACAACCTCGAGATCAAGAGTCGCGTGCTCTTCTGACTGAGCCAGCCAGGCGCCCCCATCTGGGTGCCATTTTATTCGTATTCGTTCTACTTAGGAGTCTTGAGCTTATTGGTCTTGTAAATTGCTGTCTTTCACCAGGTTCGAGAAGTTTATGGCTACTAGTTCTTCAAATGTTTCTTCTGCCTTATTTCATTCCTCTCTATTTTACTGCCTCTATGACCACTCTAGGTACCTCAGAGAAGAAGAATCATACAACGTTTATACTGTTGTGTTGGGCTTATTTACTTCGCATCACATTTTCAAAGTCCGCGCATGTTGCAACATATATCAGAATTTCTTTCCTTTTTAAGGCCGAATCGTATTCCATTGGATGCATGTGCCACATTCTGTTTCTTCTTTCCTCTGTTGGTGGACAAATGGGTTATGTCCACCTTTTGGCTAGTGTGAATAATGTTGCTGGGAACATTGGCGTATACACTTTTTTTGAAAAGGAGCTTTCTAATAACTCATTCGGTATGCATACCTAGAAGCAGAAATGCTGAGTCGTAGTGCATTTGTAACCTTATTAACTGTTTCTAGATGGTTCACCAAAATGGCCGTACCAGCCTACCTTCTCATCGGCAGTGCCTGAGTGTCCCTGAATACCTATTTTTCGGATGAGCAATCTCGAGTGTTTAAAATCTCTCTTGTATTAAAAACAACAACAACAAAGAAAGTTCTGTGGACACCCCCCCTCCCCGATCCTCTGCCCTAATGTTTGTTTAACCAATTCCTGGTGAGGAAACCATTTGACTTAATCTTTCTTGCTGCTGATGAGCTTGGCTTACTTTGTTGGAATCCAGAAGGCATAGGAAGGAGCCCTAGGCTTCAACAGTCTCATTTCGGGCTATTTTCTCTTCCAGCCCTTAACCTCAGTGGAAACCTCCCCAGATTCCACCACCCAGGACTCAGACTCCCCAGAGTCTCTGCCTAGCATGACCGCGAAAACCAGCTCTGAGTGCAGTAGCCCCAAGACGGTCTCCTTGAAATACAGGCAGCACCACATCTCCCAGCACCTCCTCCAGGGGAAAATCTCGAAAATTTCTCTGCCGACAAATTCCCAGAGCTTCTTAGGAAATCTGAACCAGAGCTGGGCTTCGCCGAAGAGTGACGCGAGGAAGCAGAGTCTGATGTCTGAGCTATTCACCAAGGTTCCCCTGAGGGAGAAGCTCTCCCTGTTCCCAGCTCACGACAACCCAAAGCTGGTGCTGAGTAACAAGTCACGTGAGTGCCAGCGCGCATGGCATGTGCCTAGGGGGTGGAGCCACCAAGGGAACCAGTCCTCATCTTTGAGGAGTGGCCATTCTGGGGTGGGGGATGCAGCCCCTGCCCTCAGGCAGATGGGAGACCCCAGCCTGATGGTGGAGACATAAGCCATGTCCTTAAGGAGTCTCTAGTCTTACCAGAAACACAAAAAAAGCAAAAA